AGAGAGAGAGAGAGAGAGAGAGAGAGAGAGAGAGAGAGAGAGCGCGAGAGAGGACGGATGAAAGGATAGACGGCAGCAGAGCGTCCCGTTGCGCAATCATGCGTGTACGCGAGTCGCACGATCACTGTGTGAGTGGATGTCCGGACGCGTAGCCTGGAGTCTAGGCGACCGGTTCTGGACGCGTAGCCAGTGCGAATAATATTTACGAGGTTATGGGGTTACCATGTGTGTCCATTGCACCTTTTACCTGTAGTGTACTCTATGTAATAATGTGTACATGTAGCTTGAATATGTACATCTACTGTTTTTTGTCAAATTATGGCTTTTCTTGATGTATGAAGTCTTAGGGTGTTAAATAAATGGTCAAGATTATTTGAGGAATGTACTCACTGAGGAAAGGCTTATAATGCTTGCACTTACAATTACTTAGGTTCTTAGTGTTTCAATTTGTGAAATTAATCTAATTCATTAATAGCCATCAGACTGATGAATCCTTGAATGATGACCATTTTATTATATCTACTTCCAAAATTTTCTGTTAAGCAGCAAACCAGTTGTCGAGTGAGCAATCTTTACCTCATGCCTGGTTTCGCTTTACATTGATATTAAAATCATTGAAGGAGTCATTGTATTTTGTATGTAATGTTAATATTTTTGTGCCTCCTTAAAATTATCGTCTGTTTACAGAGCTGTGGCAAAGTCTATAAGAGCTATGCTGGAATCCACTTCCACATCTACAACTTTGACCACACAAATCCAGAAAACAACACTCCTAACACTGGTAGCAGCAAAAAGCTTGGCAAGAAGGGTAAAAAGAACTGGCATCACAGGTTAGCTATATGCACCTTTTACCAGTATACATAACAGGAGGCATTCTTTTGAAAATCGGACGATGGTTGTCTGACGTCGGTGTTGTCTCATAATGCGGCAGTTTCACTAGAAAAAAAGCTCTTGCCAAAATCATCACATAGCATTCTTGGAGCTCGTGCATGAATCCCCCATGTCCTCTACAAACTCGTTCCTCACCGGTTTTTCTCCATCCCAGGTGGACACAACGTTGCGCGATGCCACTGTGCTAACACTTCTCCCCATACCTCGCGCACGCGTGCCTCTTGCTTGCTGGTTCTTCTCCCTCCTCGCTGGTACGTGGGGTCGCCTGATGCCACCGTGCTAACACTCCCCCCCCCCATACCTCGCGCATGCGTGCCTCTTGCTTGCTGATTCTTCTCCCTCCTTGCTGGTACGCGGGGTTGCGCGATGCCGCCGTGCTACTGCTAATGTTTATCCGCTATCTCGGTGTCGCGCAGGAACCTGCGTCGCTGGTACGCTGAGTCGCGCGATGCCGCCATGCTACTGCTAATGTTTTCTCTGTTATCTCGGTGCCGCGCAGGAACCTGTATCGCTGGTACGCGGGGTTGTGCGATGCCGCTGTGCTACTGCTAATGTTTTCTCTGTTATCTCGGTGCCGCGCAGGAACCTGTATCGCTGGTACGCTGGGTTGCGCGATGCCGCCGTGCTACTGCTAATTTTGTTCTCCGCTATCTCGGTGCCGCGCAGGAACCTGCGTCGCTCGCCGACCCCGCCGGAGTGCTTCCAGCCCGCGGGGCGCGAGGTGCTGACGTTCGCGCAGGCCCGTCGCCTCGTGGAGGTGGAGCTCGACGGGCGCCCACACCGCATCAACATCCTCGAGCCACTCGAGATCTTCTACCAGGATGCCATCGACAACGTCGCCAACCAGGAGGCTGAGGACAGGAAGGGCGGTGAGAGGGTTGTTGCCGTGGCGGCGGCGGCGGCGGCGGTGGAGAAGCCGCGGACGCCAAAGCCGATCGAGATGAAGAAGAAGGAGATGGCAGCGGCAGCCAGCGCGAAGCTACCAGAGGCATCATTCCGGTTAGCTTATCATTATTACTGCTGATATAATTATTATTACTATTATTATTATTACTATTGATATTATTATTATTACTATTATTATTATTATTATTATTATTACTAGTATTTAGTGTTATTATTTTTGTTATTATTATTGTTATTGTTATTATTGTTGTCATTATTAATATTTTTATTACTATGATAAAATAACTTTACCCTTGTATTATTATGAAATCCGGTGAACTTATTTTAAGATCATCTATGAAGTGCATGTTGTTATCATCAGCTGCCCTATTGTATTTGAAACAAAAACATTTCTGCACGTTTGATTGTGGCACAACAATCCTGGTTAAAGTGATTACGTCACGAATTTTCTATGGTAAAATTTGTAAAAATTTTGTTGCCATTTTTTTACATTAAAAGTAAGAACTAACGGGAATAAACGTATCGTCAAATTCTTACCTGATAAGGTTGTTTCTCAGGTACGATTTGATATTAGTGTTCCTAACATTAATTGCTTGCTATGGGCTATGTATGCGTCACGAGTGTATGTTCACATCGAACAATATAATAAAATAAGAAGTATAATGCAGCAATTTATCCATAAAAAGTGAACTGAATTGCTTATATTTAATTTTACTATTTACGGTGACGTGTCGTAATCACTTTAAAATGTGGAAATTGGATTATTGTTCCTTGTACGTCCATCATGCATTAATTTCTGCCTTTCTACATGCAGTGTCCTTGACACATACAAGAAAAGGGATGTGCAGGTGAGGCCGAAGACTTACTATCGCTTCATAGAGAGGGCAGCGGAGGAACTGGACGAAGAGGTTGAATATGACATGGATGAGGAGGTACAAACTTCCTCCCTGTTCTTCTCCTTCCGACTTCCTCTCCCTCTCCTTCCTTTCCCCTTTCCAACCCCTCTTCCCTTCCCCACCCCTTCCCCTCTCCCTATCTCTTCCAACAGTATACCAAAAACCATTGGAATTGTGGAAATTTGATGCATTCAAAACATTTTTTCTACTCAAACTCACCATTCATTCATAAAATCAAGTTCTTTGTAACTATTTTAAAACCTTATAAATAAATTAAAAATAAATAAATAAAAGTTAATGTTGTTATAACATAAATGACTCCTTGTGTGTAAAATGTTAATTAAGCTGGGTTTAAACTACCGACTTTATGTTGGCGAATTGGCGAGTTGGACCAATTTCGCAATTCGGCAACTCCGAGTTGGCGAAAATAGAACCTGTTCCAACCTTCAAACTAGCTGCTATTGATCGGTTGGTCGCGCAACTTTTGCATTACACTACCGATTGTTGGTTGTATAGTTGGGAAGTTGGTCCAATTCGCCAATTCGCCAACACAAAGTCGGTAGTGTAAACCCAGCTTTGATAAAACGACGTGAGCAGCGTCAGATGACGGATTGTGTCCTCCCGTTACAGGACTATGCCTGGCTGCAGCTCATGAACGCTGAGCGGGAGGAGCAGATAGAGGAAGTTGTCCCACAGGATGTCTTCGAGTATCTCATGGATCGTCTGGAGAAGGAGAGCTTCTTTCAGGTATACCCACTCAACCGCAATGGCTCCTGCTTCCTTGAGGCCACAATTAAAAAAATCTTTGTTTGCCCTCACCCGACCCAGGCTGAAAAGTTTGGGTAGGTAGGTCGGCTTTGTTTCTTTTTTGAGGGGGGGTCTTTTTACAAATTCAGCATGGTGTCTACATGCTCGGGTGTGCTTGTGCGGAGATACATTTGATGTTGAATCATGAATGTTTGTTTTGCTTGGTACATATAATCAGGAGTGGGTAAGTCAGGAAATTGGTAAATATTGTTGATATAATTATAAAGACAAGATATGCAAAATTTTGAATAGGCCAAGGGGACTGATTATATGGGGGGTCGAACCAGCAGCCGCCGGCAAAATAGCGCTAATTTCGCACACTGAGTAGTGACATGCATCAAGCAGCGTTACATGGTTTCTCTCTCCCGCGCTGCCGCAGAGCCAGAGCTGCGGCGGGGAACACTTACCCGGGGTGGACGACGACGCCGTCTGCTGCATCTGCAACGACGGCGAGTGCCAGAACAGCAACGTGATCCTCTTCTGTGATATGTGCAACCTCGCTGTGCACCAGGAGTGCTACGGCATCCCCTACATCCCCGAGGGCCAGTGGCTGTGCCGCCGCTGCCTGCAGTCGCCTTCGCGCGCCGTCGACTGCGTGCTCTGCCCGAACAAGGGCGGCGCGTTCAAGCAGACGGACGACGGCCGCTGGGCGCACGTCGTCTGCGCGCTGTGGGTTCCCGAGGTGATGTTCGCGAACACGGTGTTCCTCGAGCCGATCGACAGCATCGAGAACATCCCGGCGGCGCGCTGGAAGCTCGGCTGCTACGTATGCAAGCAGCGCGGCGCGGGCGCGTGCATCCAGTGCCACAAGACGAACTGCTACACGGCGTTCCACGTGACGTGCGCGCAGCAGGCCGGGCTCTACATGAAGATGGAGCCCGTGCGCGAGAACACGCCGAACGGCTCGCAGTTCAGCGTGCGCAAGACGGCGTTCTGCGACGCGCACTCGCCGCTCGACCCCGACGCGGCGGCGGCGGCGGGGAACAACGCGGACTCGGACGAGACGTCGGAGGCGGCGACGCCGGAGAAGGGCGGCGCGGCGACGAGTTTCTCCGTGAAGAAGGCGAAGGAGATCAGCAAGGTGAAGATGAGGAAGGCGAGGAAGATTCTCGCGGAGAAGCGCTCGGCGATCCCCGTCGTCTCCATCCCGACGATCTCCCCCGAGACGTAAGCGTACGGCGTAGCGTTAGTGTGCATGCGCGTGCGTGTGCGTGCGTGCGTGTGTCACTGTGCATGCGTGTGCTTGTGTGTGTGCACGTGTGCGTAAGTGCGTACGCGTGCTTGCGCGTATGTGTGTGTGTGCGTGCGTGCGTGCGTGCGTGCGTGCGTGCGTGCATGCATGCGTGTGTGTGCGTGGGCTTGTGTGTATGTGTGCATGTGCATGTGCATGTGCATGTGCATGGGCGTGTGCGTGCGTGTGTTTGAGTGCATACACGTGCATGTGTGTTTAAGTGTGTGTGTCTGTGTGTGTGTGTGCGTGCGCATGCATGCGCGTTTGTGTACGTGTGTGCGTGCGTGTGAGTTTGAGTGTGTGAGAGTCCGTCCAAAAGGCGGGTAGATGGGTCTCTGGCTAACACACTGATGGTGACGTGTTGTTTACTGTGTTTCCGTGGTTACAGGCTGAGTAAGATCGCGCATCAGATCACCATCACGAAGAAGGTGCAGTTCCTATATCGGCTGCAGGGCTACTGGACGCTGAAGCGCCAGTCTAGGAACGGTGTGCCACTCATCCGTCGTCTGCACACTGCCACCTGCCATCAGCCACGCCGTGACAGCCCGCCCTCCCAGGTACTGCCATCGCTCTATTGCAGTGTAGACGGGTCTCTGGCTAACACCAGGGTTCTGCCCACGTGGGGTTGGGCGGCGGTGGGCGGGTGTGCCCGGCCCTCGCGGTTGCCGTCTCTAAAACCCCTGTTTTTCCTGTTTTTTACCTGAAAAAACAACAAATTTGTCAGTCTGATATATGGGCTTTTTATTGCTCATAATGCAGGAAATTGAGTTTCAGACTATCCAAAATCCAAAATTTTACGTGGAGGCATGCCCCCGGACCCCCCTAGATTGGCTTCGCGCGTACGGCGCTTGCATCTTGCGACTTCATCGCAACTGGATGCGCCCGGCACTAAAAAATCCGGGGCAGAACCCTGTAACACACTGTAACAGCAGTGGTGTGAGTCGTTGCGCTGAGCATCTCACGCTGACCATCGTTCGTTTGTTTGCTTGCAGTCCGGTGAGAAGCAGAGCGAGAGCGTGAAGGAGCAACTGAAGGAGTGGAAGCGGCTGAGACAGAGCCTCGAGCGAGCCCGCCTCCTCATCGAACTCATACGCAAGCGAGAGAAGCTGAAGAGAGAAGAGGTGAAGCCCTTCCTGTGCTCCTCCTCCCGCAGCTCCTCTCTATATTTCTCTCCTCCCGCTCTCTTTCTCTCTCTCCCATTCTCTTCCTTTCTCGCTTTCGCTCTCTATCTCTCTCTCTCTCCTCTCTCTCTCTCTCTCTCTCTCTCTCTCTCTCTCTCTCTCTCTCTCTCT